GAGAAGCACGGCAGGGGGCAGGGAGCCAGTGGAAACGTGAGAAGCAGTCACGCGGGCAGGAGCCAGTGGAAACGTGAGAAGCAGTCACGCGGGCAGGAGCCGGTGGAAACGTGAGAAGCAGTCACGCGGGCAGGAGCCAAACGTGGGAAGCAGTCACGCGGGCAGGAGCCAAACGTGGGAAGCAGTCACGCGGGCAGGAGCCAAACGTGGGAAGCAGTCACGCGGGCAGGAGCCAAACGTGGGAAGCAGTCACGCGGGCAGGAGCCAAACGTGGGAAGCAGTCACGCGGGCAGGAGCCAAACGTGGGAAGCAGTCACGCGGGCAGGAGCCAAACGTGGGAAGCAGTCACGCGGGCAGGAGCCAAACGTGGGAAGCAGTCACGCGGGCAGGAGCCAAACGTGGGAAGCAGTCACGCGGGCAGGAGCCAAACGTGGGAAGCAGTCACGCGGGCAGGAGCCAAACGTGGGAAGCAGTCACGCGGGCAGGAGCCAAACGTGGGAAGCAGTCACGCGGGCAGGAGCCAAACGTGGGAAGCAGTCACGCGGGCAGGAGCCAAACGTGGGAAGCAGTCACGCGGGCAGGAGCCAAACGTGGGAAGCAGTCACGCGGGCAGGAGCCAAACGTGGGAAGCAGTCACGCGGGCAGGAGCCAAACGTGGGAAGCAGTCACGCGGGCAGGAGCCAAACGTGGGAAGCAGTCACGCGGGCAGGAGCCAAACGTGGGAAGCAGTCACGCGGGCAGGAGCCAGTGGAAATGTTTGCTAGCGCACGGCTGGCAAGAGAGGCTCTGGAAGACGGCAGAAGGGAGCGCGATGCGCAGGGATGTTTTGATCCCGACATGCCAGCAGTGACGCGTAACTTGCTGGTATCTGTCAATACAGATGCAGCCTCCTTGTCCGGCCTACAGGGCAGTAGGGAGTCCCGCCACTCACTGAGATGAGCCCACCATCAGGAGGCGCCCATGTACTAACACAGGTCTTGGAAAAATATGCCCAGGGGCCAGAACCGGCCTGCGGAGCACCCGGACAGGACCCTCAGGCACCCAGCTGCTGCGGTTTGAAGTGCAGTCTTGGGTTCTCTGATCTCCCCACCCCAAGCCCAATCCTCAGCTCCTATTGGATGGAAACAACCAGCCAATAGGAGCTGAGAGACGCCAGGGGCAGCACAGGCCTCTCCCCCCTCCCAGAGCTGAGAGCCACTTGGAGGGAGCAGCCTCAGTTTTAAGCATCTGGGGCTGCAGCAGGCAGGGAGCCCAGCCTGCCTTGGGGCTGCTGCAGGTCGGAGATATTTAGGTAGGCACCTCCCAGCCAGAGCCTGTCTCTGGCACCCCTGCCCCTCCTGCACCCCAACTCCCTCCCCCAGGTCACCCTCCAAACCCTCTGCACCCCCCTGCCCCAGGTCACAGCTCCCTCCCAGACTCTGTAACCCCTCACCCAGGCCAGAATCTTCTCCTGCACCCCAATCCTCTGAACACCCACAGGCCAAATCATCCTTCACCCAAATTCCTCCTCAGACCTCACACCACCTCCTGCACCCCCGTCCCTTACCCTGTGCACCCTTCTGCACCCAACCTCCATCCTAGACCCTGCATCTCCTCCACAGAGAAGCGCGGCCCTTGACCACTTTCCCCGTTTTGGGGCTGCCGGGTGCCTGGGGGCGGGGCCGCTCACAGGCCACGTGACTGGGGGCAGGGCCAAGCATGCGCCGCACGCCCAAGGTCAGCACCGGCATGTGCTGTGATCCCGGGCAGGGGCTGCCCAGGTTCCACGTGGCGGGGCTGGGGCCGGGGCCGGGGCCAGAGCCAGGGCTGGCGCAGCACCCCCGGGG